GGCCCCAGCCGGGGGCGCCCTCCCATGCGCAGCGCTTTACGAGCTCCCGGAGAGGGCGCCGGAAGTGACGGAGTGCGTGCCCCGGCAGAACACCGCCCCGGGCGGAAGGAGTGGTCTCGCCATCTTGCTTGAGGGCTTCCCTTCAGGGGGTGAGTTTTTGCTGTTTTCTGACGGGTCCCTGTACGAACGTGGAGAGGTGGAGCAAACCAACTCCCTAAAACGGCGGGGGGGGGGGTGGGGATCATTAAATAGGCGTTTAAACTTTTAGTTTCTCATGTTAGTTGTAACAAGATATCTCACCGCCTGATGCCCCAATGGAGAGATCCAGCGAATCACGTATGTAAATACGTACCTGTGTACGTCCTGCTGCTCCAGGCAATATTTCGCCATTGCTTGCGCAGTTCTTTGTACAGCCCTGCCCACGCACAAAGTGGATGCATTTTGCACTCGCTTTGGGTGCGTCTAGACCACAAGCCTCTTTCGAAAGAGAGCGTCTAGACTGCAACCTCTTCTTTCGGAAAAGCGAGCCGCTTTTTCCACAGAGCGCACCCCGGCAGTCTGGATGCTCTCTTTCGAAAAAGCCCTGTTTGCATTCAAGAACGCCTTTTTTCGAAAGAGCATTTTTGAAAGAAGGCGTTCTTCCTCGTGAAATGAGGGGTACCGCCGTCGAAAGAAAAGCCGCCTGCTTTCGGTTTAATTTCGAAAGAACGCGGCTGCAGTCTAGACGCAAGTGAAGTTTTTTAGGAAAAAAAAGGCTACTTTTTTTGAAAAGTCCCTGCAGTCTAGACACACAGCCTTCGTTCTAATGTGACTCCCCAAAATGTGGGGAACTGGACCATTGTGGGGACTATGCAGCACTTTAAAGTCTAACAAGATGATTTATTAGGTGATGAGCTTTCGTGGGCCAAACCCACTTCCTCAGATCAAAATCTGGAAGAGAATTTGCATGAACATACATACCAAAGGAATACAATGAAAAAAAAGTGAACACATTATTGTCAGTTTTATAATGTGTTCACTTTTTTTTTCCATTGTATTCCTTTGGTATGTATGTTCATGCAAATTCTCTTCCAGATTTTGATCTGAGGAAGTGGGTTTGGCCCACGAAAGCTCATCACCTAATAAATCATCTTGTTAGACTTTAAAGTGCTGCATAGTCCCCACAATGGTCCAGTTCCCCACATTTTGGGGAGTCACATTAGAACGAAGGCTGTGTGTCTAGACTGCAGGGACTTTTCAAAAAAAGTAGCCTTTTTTTTCCTAAAAAACTTCACTTGCGTCTAGACTGCAGCCCTAGCTAACTTGCTGAAAAATTGTAATGTAGTTGCAGCAGCATAGATAGCAGAATGGGATACGTACTCCTAGGACCACAGGTATGGACTTGAGCTAGCTTGTACTGCTGCCTGAACTCCTGTGGCTAGTCTGCTATTTTTAGTGAGTTAGCTCAGTTAGAGCTAGCTCAGATATGCTTGCTTGTATCTGTTATCCCAGTTGCTTTGTAGATATACCCAGCATCAGAGCATTGTATTAAGAGTAGGGTGAGGAGTCACGGTCTGCAAAAATAGTGGGGTTTTAACTTCTGCTTATGAATGTAGAGAAAGTATTTCTAAAATAAGTACAGATCTGAGTGTGAAGGAAGGTTAATGCACTAAGAACAAAAAGTGTAATTCCACTATTTTCTTTTTCATTCTAAAGACAGTCAGTGAAGAGATTTTATCCTGGATGATTAATCTAATTTTCCTTGATTAGGAGGTTGTGCTGCATGATGCTTTAAGAATTCTAATGTCTGCATGTGGTTAGAGTAGACTCTAATAAGGTTTGCAACAGTGTGAATTGCAGAGTTCAAAAGTCTTGTCAGTTGACAGCAGCCACACCTAAGAATAGATTGGACTTTTTCACTGTACTAACATGATTACTTTGTTCATTAAATTACTTGATTTTCTTGATCTTGTTCTGGTCAGTTACTGTCCTTTATATTAAAATGCATGATCAGCTGATTGGGCATGGGGAGACAAATTGGCTGCAAAGCATTGGCATATGAAAATTATAAAGGTTTTTTCCTTACGGAGTGCTCATGCTCTGCAATTTTAGTTAAAAAGTAACTTTTTAACTCCAGTGCCCATAGACCCTTAACAAAATCTATTTATTATTTACAGGGAATCTTCTTTAGTCAACAAAGATCTGAATTATTTCTTCTAAGAAATGGTTTAAATGTATGCTTGTTAAACTGTCTGTATAATATTTTATTTTGTAGGGGCATGTCTTCGGACATTGGACCTGGGTCCGTTCTAGCCAAAGTAACAATAGCAATTACAAAGTGAGCCACATTATCAACAATATGGCTTCCAGCAGGTCTAGATTAGGGTTCCCATTGGTAGCTGTAATGGGAATTTTAGGGAAACAAGATGTAGTGTAAACAAGGCCTCGTTTGTGTGGGAGACCAGAAGATTGTTTGGTAGAATCAACCGATAGTTTGTTACATGCCCGGATTCTGCATAATCCCTGTGACGTAGTGGGGGTACCTGGCTGGTTTCTATGCTGCTGGCTCTGGGGTAACCCCCACTGGCTGTCGTGGGGACCACGACCCAGCAAAACAGGATGAGTCACTATGCAAACCAGTGGCCAGACACCCCCCATGGAGAGGAACAAAGGAAGGTGGAATGCTGCCTTGGCTGGGGGGCAGGGCTGGAAGTTAGGGAGTTGGTTGCTGGCTGTCGGAGGGCATGGAGGAGAGCCTAGGGGAAGGGGCTGGAGTTTAGGGGCCCAGTCTCCCCCATCTCAAGGGGGCCTGAGGCATCCTAGCCCAGTTCCTGTAACCAGTTACATCTGTGCTGCGCTGTGCTGGAGGAGCAATAAACCACCCTCAATTCCACTGGCTGGTGCAGTCTGTTTGTGCCATTTCGGGGTGCAGGAGACGGGGAACCCCCAACGCGCCGTCACACTGGTGTCAGGGGTGGGATGCACTGCACCCCGTGGATGGAGCTTCCAGCGGCAAGCGACAAGGCGCAGTAGAAGCAAGAGCCCTGGAGCCAGGCGTGCTGGAGACAGAGCGAAGCGGTTCCTGGGAATCGTGGGGCGCTGCAGCACTAGACTGGTGAGTCTGCACCAAGGGGACCAGCGGGCAGATGGCCTACGCCCGACTCTTGAAGGCAGAGCTGGTGGGGCTGTGCAGAGAGAGGGGCTTGCCTGTGCAGAAAGCAACCAAGGCCCAGCTGATTGCCCAGCTAGAAGAGAACGCCCAGCCACAGGGCCAGGATCTTGTCCCCAGGGGAAGCAGCCAGACCCCCCTGAGAGTGTGTCAGGCTCAGAGAGGGGGAGGAGCGCTGGAACCCA